TAAGCAGGGCCCTGCTAAAATGTTTAAGCTTTTTAGGCTCCTACGCAGGTGAAGCGTGCACATGCGTGTCTGCACACCGCATTTAGGGCAACCCATTCATTTCAATAGGCTGCCCTAGGCACAAGAAACACAACAAATAAGTGCCCGACCTTTTTAAAAATTACGCCGCACCAAAATGCATGGTACTTTATCATGCATTTCGGCTTTCAGGTTAGTAAGATGCATGGGGTAGCCATTAGGAATTAAGGATTTATAAAGAATGAATTAGGAATTGATGGCACAGCCATGCGCCTGCAAAAGAGCTGCGTGTTTTTGTGGATTGTGGGAAAGAATACGATTTCTCATAGCAAGCAAAGTACAATGTTCATTACTTGCATTTAGTAATTTCAACAACTCAATGTTTTTAATGACATCTGGATTTTTTTTTTTTTTTTTTTTTAAGTATAATAAAGCGGTTCTTCTGTTGAAAAAAAAAAATAAAAATAAAAGTCAGCATCTACAATTACTTTTAACTTTTAATAAAAGGACGCTCACCTGTCCAGGGATCCAGCACTATCCTCACCTAAAACCGGTTTCTGGACGGTCTTCAGGTCTCCAGCATGTTTACATAGCACTTTGTGAATGGTCCTGCAGACTTCTGGGACCTGTGACATGTTCCAAAAGGTTGCAGGCAGGGGGGGTGGGGGAGGAGAACTTCCAGGTGGATCTGCTGCAACTATCCAGCTGGAAACTGGAAGCAGGTACCTGTCAAAACCAGGTACCCACTCTCTCACTCCCCCCCCCAAAAAAAAGTGCCAAATAGAAGGAGGAGGAGGAGGGCATGAAGCGGAACTTCCACTTTATGGTGAAAATTTGTTTTAATAATTTTGTGATCAATTATGTGATCTCCACCTTAAACTGTCTCCCTGATATGCACTGACTTTCTGCAAACTAAAAGTAAATGCAGTTTTCTGCTGGAGTGCAAAACAGCAGTTGAACACAGCAGTTTAACTAAAGCAGGATAGCTCAAGCAGCAGGAAGATACAACAAAGAACTCTACTGCACACTGGATGGACTGCAAGCAAACACCCTGGGAAACCTCTCCTACAAGTTTGATTCCCACTCCATGTACCTTTTAAAATGCCCCCTCTACTCCTCCTATTCATAGTACTATCCTCTGCTCTCAAAATCTCCTTTCCTTACCCCTCTGCTCCACCCCAAAGCTCATACATCTCCCCCTCACTTCTACCATCTCCCTACTACTGCTCTCATCACCTCCTGCTGATACTTTACTCACCCTGCTGACCCAAACACCAGGACTGGAAGGCATGTGCACTCATATACATCCCACTTCCATCTTTCTTTCCTCACCTCTGGGAATATCTCCCCAAACCCTGGTCCTTCAGTATCTCACCCCCACACCAGGCACCCTCCTTCCTCCAGGAATAGCCGCAATCCAGTCAGTTTAATCTCAATCCCCATGCTCCTTAAAACCACCCTCCCTTTTTCATGTGCACTCTGGAATGCCCGCTCTGTCTGTAATAAGCTCACCTCTGTCCATGACCTTTTTGTCTCCCGCTCCCTTAACTTACCAGCAATTACAGAAACCTGGCTTCAAGCAGCAGATTCTTCTTCTCTCGCAGCACTTTCCTATGGAGGCCTTCTCTGGACTCACTCACCCAGTGGTCGGAAAGGAGGTGGTTTGCTTCTATCCCCACTGAGCACCTTTCAAGTCCTCCATAACCCTCCCTCTCTATCCTTCTCTTCTTTTGAGACTCACTGCATTCGGCTGTTTTCTCCTAGTTCTCTGAGGATTGCAATGATCTACTGGCCTCCTGGACCAGAGTCGCACTCTTGATGACTTCTCTGCCTGGCTTCTACTTTCTCTCCTCTGAAATACCCACTATCATTCTTGGAGATTTTAACATCCCCATTAATGTGAACAACCCAGCTACATCCAAACTCTTCAACCTAACCTCATCTTTTGCCTTAGCACAATGTCCTTGTCTTCAAACACCTATCCCTCCGAACAACAAACAATTACCTGCAGAAGCTTTCACAACTTAAACCCTTCTCTTTTTCACTCTGCAACTGACTGCCTCTATGACAGAATCTCTCCCCTGTCCTGCCCTGACCTGGCCACTGCTGTCTACAACAGTTCACTTTCATCCAGATTAGACTCACTTTCTCCTTTAACAACACGAAGGATCAGGCCCCGACCATTACAACCATGGCAGACTGACAACACCAGAAATCTTAAGTGACATAGTCGTACACTGGAGCGATTGTGGCATAAAACCAAATCTCATCAAGCATTCACTCTATATAAATCTGCTTTCTTAACATACAATTCCTCCCTCCATGCTGCCAAACAAGCCTACTTTGTCACTACTATTAATACCTTGTCATCCAGTCCTCGTCTTTTCTCTACTTTTAACTCTCTACTTTCTCCACCTCCACCCAGTAACTCACTCACAGCTTACAAGATTGCAAATCATTTCAAAAACAAGATTGATGCAATTCGTAGGGGCATCTCCGCTACACAGACATCCATCCCACTTAGCATACCTTATACTAAACCTCCCTCAACACTTTCCTCTTTTGACCTTGTGAAGAGGTCATTAAAGTTTTCTCAGAAGCACGTCTCTCACCACGTGCCCCCTGGATCCTGCCCCCTATCAACTACTACGGTCACCCTCTTCTTCCATCCTATGCTCCCTCATTCACATCTTCAATCTCTCCCTCTCTAACGGTGCCTTCTCCACCCCTCTAAAGCATGCACAGATCACTCCCATACTTAAAAAGCCCTCCCTGGACCCCACCAACCTGAACAACTTAAGACTCATCTCCCTGCTCCCATTTACCTCTAACCTCTTAGAACGCTTAGTCTACAATCGCCTGAGCTCCTACCTCACTGACAACATCCTTCTTGACCCTTTACAGTCTGGCTTTACACTCCACTGAAACTGTCCCACTAAAACTCACTAATGATTTACTAACTGCTAAAACCAATGGCCATTACTCCATACTCTTACTACTTGATCTCTCTGCAGCTTTTGATACTGTTGACCATTCCCTCCTCCTCAAAAAACTCACTCTCTTGGCCTCCGAGACTCTGCTCTCTCCTGGTTCTCCTCCTACCTATCGCAGCGATCCTTCAGCGTTACCTATACCTCTGGCTCCTCCTCTCCACTTCCTCACTTTCTGTAGGGGTCCTTCAAGGTTCTGTCCTTGGACCCCTTCTCTTCTCCATTTACACCTCCTGCCCTGGTCGCTTGATAAACTCCCATGGCTTTAAGTACCATCTCTATGCTGATGACACACAAATCTATCTTTCTACTCCTCCCCTCACCCCTTCAGTCTCCTCTCGCATTACTAACTACTACTAAGTGACATATCAGCATGGATGTCACTCCACTTCCTCAAACTCAATCTTTCCAAAACAGAGCTCATACTATTCCCTCCAGCCCGTGCCCCCTCCCCTGACTTCTCCATCAAGATCAATAATACAACCATCAGTTCCTCCCCTCATGCCAGGGTACTAGGTGTAATCCTAGATTGAGTGAACTGAGAAAAGATTTACCCATCTGTCCTTTCAGCCCCAAATCCAATCACTGTCAAAATCTTGTAGACTTCACCTCCGCAACATCTCCAAGATATGGCCGTTCTTAACCCCTGAAACCACTAAGCAACTTATTCACTCCCTGGTTATCTCTCGCCTTGACTATTGGAACTCCCTCACCAGTGGCCGACCTCATCGCATGCTATTCCCTCTTCAGTCTATCATGAATGCTGCTGCCGACTTATCCACCTTACTAACCGTTCTGTATCAGCCACCACTCTCTGCCAATCACTCCACTGGCTTCCCATTGCCCAACGAAAAAAAATTCAAAACATCAACAACAACATAGCCAGTTATAACTTTGCCCCAAATTACATCACCAATCTTGTCTCCAAATATCACCCAAACCATCCTCTCCACTCCTCACAATACCTCCTGCTCTCTAATTCCCTTGTCTCATCCTCCCATGCTCAACTCCAGGACTTCTCCAGAGCCTCTCCCATCCTCTCGAACCCTCCACCCCAATCTATCCGCCTATCGCCTACTCTGCCCACTTTTAGGCGACCTCTCTCTTCAGGGAAGCCTATCCTACCTTCAGCTAATAACGGAATCTTCTATTTCTCCTTTCAGTTCATCACCCATAGTCATTACCTTTTGTACCACCAGTCCCTCCCTCTTAGATTGTAAGCTCCAAAGAGAAGGATCCTCCTAACCCTCTTGTATTGAACTGTATTGTTGTTGTATTGTCTCCCTTTATATTGTAAAGCACTGAGCAAACTGTTGGTGCTATAAAAATCCTGTATAATAAGGACTATCAGACTTGAAAAGCTCTCCCATAGGTCAAATGAATTTCAGCCCATTCCTGCTGAATCCCTGCAAGCACCACTTGGCTCAACAAAAGTAAAATCAAAGAAGTATGGCCAGAGCTTTTTTTGGGCTTACACCTATGGATCACAAGAGTGCAGTGACGTGACTCAGCTTGTCCAAGCTCTGGACTTGTCCTAACTTTACAGTCAGGATCCACCCAAATAATGCCTGGGATGGCAGCTGACTCTGGGCCACTCCCGCCCCTCCACAGCCCAGCGCTCCATGAGTGCTGGATGGGCACAGCAGAGAGCTGGTGACTGACCATGACCGGCTGTCTGCTCCCTGCATACTGAGAACAAAGCGATCAGACGTCTTAGAAGTGGCGGGGTACATTTGCAGCATCAGATCGATGTTGCATCTACCTAGGTGAGTATAATTTTTTTTTTTCTCCAAAAACCTGAACTTCTCTTTTAAAAATCAATAAAGTTAGGTGGAATATTAACATCCTATCAGATACAGTCTTGTTCAGCATTGTAAAGCAATAGGTCTATCAATGAAGTTAAATGGCACTGACAAGTACAGTTATACGATATGGTGTAACTAAACTATAGCGACTCAGTAAAATTGTAACAACCTTTTTGATTTCACTTACCTGAGGGTACAGGGCTGGCTCCTTTGCTCTTCTTCTTCTTGTCCTTTTTTTCCTTTGGTTTTGACAAGTTAAAGAGGCGATTGGAGGAATGGCCCTCTGCTGATTTATTAGACTGGCTCCCAAGTAAGTTGAAGTGGCCTTTTCCTTTTTGCTTACTGTCAGTCCGTAGTAAACTGTCCTTTTTAGGTGATGTAGATGCCTCTGATTGTAACTGTTCCTGTTTGGTCGAGTCACACCATTTCGAGGCGTCCATGCCAACAGGGAGTGAGGGAACCCTATTCAACTTGTCATGTTGAAAAGATACCTATTGAAAATAATCCACATCAAAAGGTATTATTTCACAAGCACTGTTATTCTACCGATTGGCTATAAATGCACTACAAGCTTTCTATAATCTGTCTACAGCTTTCATCATTAAAGCAGGATTTTCAGGAGTATTAATATTTCACTGCTTAAAAGACAATGCCTAGTCCTTAGGTGAGATTTCAAAGCTTTTTCTTGTGTATAAAACACAGATCCCATTTATCTGTTAGGCTCCATTCACACTTATGCGACTTGTCATGCGACTTTGGAAATAAAGTCACATGACAAGTCGCAGCCCGTTGTTTTCAATGGTACCCGGTCAAATCTATGCGATTTAAAATCTCAGCGACTTTGAAAAGGTGGCTTCACTGCTTTAATGAGACTTTGATGTGAGCCAGAGAGTGTAAAGTCAGATCAAAGTCACACTGGAAATCGTTTGGTGTAGCACAGTGTGAATGGAGCCTAACAGATGAGATCAACTCTTGTCTGCACAATTTCCCATTTCTTTCTTTGACTTCAGAACTGCAATACTGTAGACAATCCAACTCCAAGTACCAGTTAACATTAGGCAGCAGTCATTGGTACTTGGGACCATTCAGGCATTGAACTACAGTGCAGATACTGGACAACTAGATGTAACCTGCATAACAATACACTCAAGAGTTTTTTCTATATAGTGGTGATCCAATGTGTGTCTTCAAAAATCCAACTTCAGAGAATGCAGGGTCTAGGAAATAGGCTTCATAGGTGTAAAAGCAGAAATCCAATGGTAACTTTGCTTTATGCATAGATGACAAGACTTAATTTTGTCACTTGAACTTGAAATAAGAACAATTATGTCCATTAGATTGGTACAAAATTATATATAAAGATGTTTAACATAATCTAATAAAACAGTAATATGCCAGAGAGCAGTTTGGCATCTTAGACTGCTTGTTCTGGGCAGTATAGGCAACATCACTCCTATTTGACTATATATCCATTTTAAGACCATGCCTTATCTGACACTTTTTTACATGTAAAAATCAGCTAATTTTGCTAGAAAATGTACTTAGAAACCCCAAACATTATATATACATTTTTAGCAGAGGCGCTAGAGAATAAAATGGTGGGTTTTACAAATTTTTTTTATGTCACACGGAGTTTGCGCAGTAGTTTTTCAAATGCAAATTAAAAAAAAAAAAAAAAAACACTTTTTAGCTAATGCACACAGACACAATATAATACCCATTTTTAAATTTTTTTTGCAAAATAAACAAAAAAAGAAAAAAAAAAAAGAAAAAAAAAAAAAGATTGTGTTATCTCGAATAAATGCCCAACATGCTTTTAAAATTGCACGCGCTCATGGAATGGTGCCAAGCTGCGGTATTTAAAAATCTCCATAGGCGATGCTTTTACAAGTTTACCAGTAGAGAGTTACACAGGCGGTTTGGAGCTAGAAATATTGCTCTCGCTCTGGTGTTTGTGGAAATACCACACGTGTTGTGCGATCGCCATTTACATATGCGTGCGGGACCATCATGTGTGTTTGCTTCTGCATGCAAGCTTGGGGGAGCAGAGAGGTTTTTTTTTTTTAATCACAATGTAAACATTCCTTGTGACAGCAATAGGTAGTGAAAGGTACTGGAGTCTACTAGAACCCAGATGTCTCCTCTGCCCTCAAGAGCATCTGATCACACCAAGATCATTGTGATCAGATGCTTTCCTAATTTAGAAATGGCACTAATTACATCTGGAGAAACCGAAAGTGACAAAGTACTAGTCGCTTCTGGTTTCCTCTACCATAGAGCTGATCGGGGACCTTCCAGGTACGTGGAAAGCTCTATGGTAAACTGGCGGAATTTCAGTTCCAGGTTCTCTGGTGGGATGGAGAGCACACAAAGGCACCGACGAGTGGCAGCGACCCCTCCTGCCACCTGTAAAAGCATGGCTTTTACAAAAAAAGCTGATCATTTCCGGAAAAAAACAATATTGGGCTGATGTCTACAGCTGCAGGCATCATCCCGGTATAACCACTTGTAGTCAGTCTCTTTCGCGCGCACACACACACACACACACACACACACACACACACACACACACACACACACACTTTCTATAACAAATGGAACATTTTTATTTCTCCTACAATTGTAGAAAACCAAGATGGTTTATATTTGAAAATGGGACCAAAACCAGACCACATGCACACTAAAGTCATTACATTGGGTAGAAGGGATCTTTTCAAGGAGGAAAACTGCTGTAACCATAAATTATACCTGTTTAAGCTCTTTTGTTCCGCTGGTCTTGGATCTTCCCTTGCCGTGGATCCTCTTCTATGCCGTCTACATCACATTGGCCAAGGGCTTTCATGATCTCCAGGCGATGCTTCTTCTGCTCCATTTCTTGCATGCTCTTCTTTATGTCTTCATCCATCCTTGAAGACCATTCTTTCCACTCTGCAAACTTTTTTTCTCGGTATTCCCATTGCCATTCATTTTTCAGCTTCTCTTCCCTATGCTGTGCTTGCTGCTTTTCCAAGCTGGAGATCTCCTGACGCAGCTTTTCTAGACTGCGCTGCTTCTCCTGATCGTTTAAGGAGCTCGGCCTTGATTTGCGGTTGGGGGCTCCTTTGCTCAGCATCATTTTTTGATCCTCAATGTAGGTGTCTTGCTGTACGACCACAGCCTGTTGTATAAAAAAAAAAAAAAAACTTATTAGAGTACAGATCACACAGCAGGCAATCTATTTAATGCAACTATAATCTTCAACAACTGACCTGCAAAGACTTCAGGCATTTATGAAGGTTGCTGACAGACATAAGAACTTGCTGCAGTGAAAGAAAAGGAAGTCGTGAATACAAATATATTATTTATACAAATGTCTTCAACACAACAGCGAATATTACTATAGATATTTAAAAAACTAGTAAAAACTCTTACCATGCCATTTCGTTTCACCACAACACTGGGGCTTACTCCCTGCAGATGTGAGAAGAAAAACACAGTTATTCTACAAATTATTCTCTCTCTATTTTGTCTTTTTCACTTTCAAGTTCTAGGAGGCTTACATAGTTAGAATACATCAAAAAGAAATCCTCACCACCTTCAAAGCTTCCAGGTTGTGTAACAAAACTGTTGCACAATGAAAGCTGACCTCTCAAAGAATCAGAGGGGACTCTTACAATATATGACTTCCGCAGCAGCTTGCATCCTATATCAGAGACCACCTGCAGATCTATGATACAGGAACCTGACTCTTATAGTGGAGCTGCTAAGAAAGGTATCACTTTGGCATGTATTCACATTGCCCTCCAACTGAACAGCAGGGAATTGCAGGACTAGCCTACTGCCTTTTATGCTTCTTTATAGTACGGTAAGTTGGCCATAAACTTGTAAATTCTGGAAGTTTTAACTCATTGGTGCTGGCATCACACAAGGGCCTTCCTTTGTGGTGTGTTCCCAGCACACAGACTGTGCTGCTCCAGACCTTGTATTAATGATTGGTAGCCAGGACTCCGATCACATGATAGTTATGATAGCCAGTGATTGGTTATCACAGTGATCACTCTGGTTGCCTACATTCACACCCTTGTGGGTTTGTGGCCACGTTTGCACGGGCACAGCAGCACACTAATTTGAATGGGCTGCCGTGCCCGCTTTTCCAGCTAAAAAGAAAGGTGCTTGCATCTCTATCAAAATGACGAAGCCGGGAAATCGCATGGTGCTTATGCACCATGCGATTTCCCTGTGGTTCTAACACCCGCAAACATGCTGCAGGTTGAGATGCATGGGGGGTGCCATTAAGAATGAACGGCAGCCTTGTGTGTATCTATAGAGCAGCGCATTTTATCTGCGGGTGCAGGAACAGCTGCAATTCCCACACCAGCAACCACCCGCCACAGTGTGAACCTAGCCTAAAACCCAACACAAACTTTTTTCTTTTTTTTATTACTCTGGATTAGAGAAAAGTATACATTGCATCTTTTTCACCTAGCCAGAGGCGCAGAACATAAACAAAAGGAATAATGAAAAATAAAAGACTAAATAGCTAGACCAGGGCTTTACCTAGGTTGGTGCCAGTTCAAAGGTCAGAGTAAAAGTCATCATATTGTCAGTATGTTCAGGTAAGAACAAAAAATACTCACTATTGTTTCTTGGCCTCACTACAGGTACAAACATCAACTAGGCATGTATTTGCTATCACCATGAACATCGGGAATAGGAGAATTTATTTCATGGGTTATGGTAGCAAACAATATACAGCTACATTTTAAAAAGTTATAATTTTTTTTTACTATTTTGGGAAAGTTTTTTTTAGAATACAAATTCAGGATATATTCATGAATATTTACCACCAAATGAAGGTCCAATTTGTACTGAACAAAACAATGTATATTTCACCTGGATATGATTAGAAATGTACAGTTTCATCAATACGTGCCAATTTTGCTAAAGATTAGTTTTACCTTCTGACATTATAGTGTTTATTGCATACTCTGCATTAAGGTAGAAAACCTTTTAGGTGCAGCGCCCCCCCCCCCCCCTAAATACTTACCTGAGCCCAGTTTTGGTCATTGCTATGCGGCGCTGCTTTCTCTCTCCCTCCTTACTGCACTTAGCTAGAACCACTGGCTCCTGCTACTGTCAATCAAACCTAATGAGGAGGGAGTGGTGGCCAGGCCAATACACACTGCATGTGTCAACGGACACACACAGTGCAGCTAATAATTGAGCTTGCACAAATTATCCCATAGCAAGTGGCTTGCTATGGGGCACTTAGAAGGCAGGAGGAACAAGGAGTGCCATTTGGGGGACCACAGATAGGAGAATAACATGTTTGTTAATTTAAAAAAAAAAAAAAAAAAAAAAAAAAAAAAAAAAAAAAAGGACTTTATAATCATTTTAAGGGGATAACATGGAAAAGAAAAATATACTAATTCCCATAATTTGGCTGGCTGAAACTGGAGAGGTAAGTGGTAGACAGCTGTGAACTAATAATTAAAATAAAGTGCAGCGTTAAGTATTAGCAGTAAATGTAAGAAGTATAAATGAATAATAAAATGTCCCATAAAATATATAAACGCACGAATAAACAGTTCGTAAAATATATAAGATGATCCACTTGATGTAGCAGTATACCAAGGCAAGTTGTCACAGGAACAAATGATAAAAGTGCGCACTCACCGGAAGAGCATAGATATTGCGCATGTAATCAGTATCCACCCAGATCACTTAGGTGATCACGTAGGTATGAGGTTTGCTGTGATTACCTTGAGTGCATTGGCTGCTGATTTTAGAGCGCTCACTTTTCAAATATTTTTAGCTGTGAACTAATGAATACCACGCTTTTTTCTCCGCTAAAAACCTGAAGGGAGGCTTCTAAAAATGCCAACTGCTATATATGCACGGTATGCGATCAGGAAAACTCGTTTAATTCTAAGTATGAGAAAATTATAACTACATTATTGCTATTCATACACTAACTGCCCTGACAAGCCAATCTCAACATCTCTCCATCAGCCATCTTTTCTGAGATTCAAGTACTTAAGCAGTGCAGCAATCTACAGAAACCAAAAGTGGGTAGAGATGCATCGAAATTCAACTGGTTCAGTTTTGATCTGTGTGTTCCTTCTATTTCTGTTTATCAGAAATCAGTCAGTAAATCTGCTTCTGTTGAACGACTACGCTGGAAAACTTCCATTGAATCAGTGGCTGCAGGTGCTGACCGCTGTATTCCAACAGGGGAGAGTTCACACTGTCAGAATACAATGCCACAGTGGGAAACATTCCTACATCCACCTCACTTATGTGGATAGGGGGTGCTTGGAGAAAAAAAAAAAAAAAAGGCAATCGTGTACACCCAGCAAAAAGCAGAACTATACTCACCTCGTCTCCAGCAATGCAGCATCCCCGTGCTTCCTGCCCGGCTGCGGACATCTTCGGGCTGCCGGCTTCTGGGTCTCGATTGCTGGCCACTTTCATTGGCTGGGCGGGGATGACGTCACTCCCACATGATTCAGCAGGTAAGTAGCTTTAATGCAGAAGAGACAAAGTATGTCTCTTCTGTATTAAAATTCCGGCCAGTTTGCCCATTTTTAATGTTCCACTTTAATGGTCTCTCAACCTGTTCTGATCCCTGATCCCTGAGCCTCCTGGCCAAAGTTTGGAGACCACTGGTCTACAAACCACCTCTTTATGAACACAAGATGACTGGTAGAGATACTTTGGTAAAGTACTTGTATGTACTTGACAAACCTCGCCCCACCAGGCAGAACAGTTTGAAATCATTCTATGAAGATGCCTACTGCACAGGACCATGGCCACCTAAATGTCAGTGCAAACAGTACCTTTTTGAGAACACTGTCAGACTCAGTTCTTCGGAGATCCTGTGCATCCTCCGCTTCATCTTTTTCTCCACCTTTAAGTGCAAAACAAGAATAATCAATAAAGTGTCTATCATATTATTGCAGTTCTTGTTGGTAAATTTGCTGTTCTTGGTAAAGGTAAACAAGGGCTAGTTATAGAACAGAAAAAGCTGTACTGCATCTACAATAAAAAGGGCAACAAGATCGGACACTTACATTTAGAAGCACTGAGTTGATGGCTGTCAAACCCTCCAAATGTTTCTGCTCTTCGGGGAAGAGAAACTGGACCAACTCCATTTTCGATATCGCCAGACTCCTGTGCTACCAGGCTACTCCACAGATACTGGTTCACCAGAACTTCAAGTGTCTCCACTGCAACACAGAGAACACTAAGACAATGGAGAAAACCTAACCATTCAAAACAATAAATATCTACTGAATGATTCATACTCCCAGTCATGAAAAGGAACATTTTATTTTTATTATCTTAAAGGATATGAAATAATTTGGATGAAACTAGGGTCTACAGGAGCTTGCAACCACCCGCATACAAAACACGGGACCCACGGGCGGATGCCTTTAATCTTAATTGCATTGGGAACTGCACTGTTCCTGTGCGGGCTGCGATGCTGAAAAGGTGCAGGGACCGTTTTCCTGCATTTTGCAAGGCACGGCATCCCATTTACATGCAAAGGTGTGAACCTTGGCTAAGAATGTCCAGTCATAATTCTCTAGAACAGTGGTCATCTTACATGATTTAGGGGGCCACAAGTTCAGCCCCAGACATCGCACATAATGTTCATTGTATCTAATGTTACAGCAAAGATAAACTGGACATGCAGTAGATGGTCAGAAACTGCAAGCATGCTACAGAAGATGGTTAAGCCAGCCATAGATGAGTCAAAAACCGAAGGAAAATTCTTGTTAGATGGTCAGATGGTTAAGCCAGCCATAGATGAGTCAAAAACTGAAGGAAAATTCTTGTTGATTGCAGAATCGTTCTCTTTACTCATTATTACTGTGCCAGTTGCAACACACAATTTCCGTTTGGAAACAAAGGATGGCACAATCGTAAGAGCTATTTTTGTTTTTCAGTCGACAGAACATTTGATTTTTTTTACTCATCTATGGCCGACTTTAGAGTGCAGACAACACAGAAAAACAAGTGTGACTTTAAGAGAAACCAGATTGATGAAGATATTCCTTCACTGTCTCTGAGGAAGTACCCAGGCAAGGAAAATACTGACTACTGTTTGCAGGGTCAAAGAGCTACAAGCTTCAGATGTCCCAGTGCAATTCTCAGGAGAAGCCATTGGCTCCCACGGCTGTCAATTATAGCCAGTGATGAGGATAGGGAGGCCTGTTCTGTGTGTCTTACGGACACACAGAGTAAGGCTCGAGAGCGAATACGTATGAGTGCCCCCTGAGCAAGTGGCTTGCTCTGGGGCACTTGGTGGGGTGGGTGGAGCCAGGAGCACGAATGGGGAACCAAAGAAGGAGTATCAGATGTGTTCTGAGCAAAACCACTACACAGAGCAGAGAAGTATAAAATGGTTATTTTAATTTAAAAAAAAACCTTCATTTGTCAGCAACCCCCACCACAAAATACTTACCCAATCTCGATCTAGCACTGTGCACAAAAATAATGGTGCTGCTCTCTCTCACCCTCCTCACTGGCTAGTGGCTCCTGCTGCTGTCAATCAAATCCAGTGACAAGGGAGTGGGGCTGAGCTGCACCTTGTACGTCGATAGACACACAGAGAGGGGCATGTGTGCCACCATAGATAGTGGCTTCCTATAATGTCACAAGAATAAGAGGCGGAGCCAGGAGCCCTGGTGGGGGACCCCAGTAGAGAGGGATTGGGGCTGCTCTGTGCAAAATCATTGCACAGAGCAGGAAAGTGTAATATGTTTGATATTTAAAAAAATAAATAAACATTTTAATTTTACAATCGCTTTAAATTCTAAACCTGTAACAGTTCCAAGAGATTATCATAGTCTCTTAGAACTAAATGTAAAAGTGGGGAGAATAATGTAGATTTAATTTAACAATCAAACACACAGCCTAATGATATTGCAATGTAAACTATGGACTGTTTATTAAGTTTTACTTCTCACTTTGCCCAACATGGCAGCAAACACAGAGCAACAGGTTGCAAACATAAAATGACTAAGATCTCAAATGGCTCATGTATACAGCCTATTAAGAGGCAGTCTGGGACACCTGTATCAGGCTGTTTTGCTTAGCACAATACAAAAAATATAAATAGGTTTTTATACGGATGGCTGGTACCATGTTTGGGTGAACAGCCAAGCACACAGTGGTAGTGCTGCTCAGTGAACCCTGAGGGCAGCAGGTGTGCGGGGAAAGCTGCTGTGCCTACACTGAGGACTACCAGATATGAACAAAGTTTTGCCTCCAGCAGGGAAATTCAACCTGTAATATTAAATGTGGCCACTAGATGGAGCCTAGAATATATTCACTGTTTTCAGAAGTGAAAGACTGTTCAGCTGTAATGAAAGGCTCCCACCATCTTCCAGTATGGGAAAGGGAGGCAAATGCATCTTGGGAGCTCAGACTTCATCTAAAGAACTGAGGGAAAGGAATTAGCCATAATTCTCTGCAGCACATGTCATGCACTGACCTTACATCTCCCTACAGGCATCAGCGCTGGTGAGCATGGACTTATCACCATCTGCAGCCTAAATATTTAATTGCATTTGTATATTTCATACATTGATTACTTCTTATCTGTTTTTTCAACAGTTTCACCCACCCTGCTTTGTTAATAAAGCTTCAAGATTGCATTAATTCTGGCTTATTGCAGAATAGGAGGGTTTAGCTGCAAGTCGAGTTACACATAAGGAAAACGTGTAGCGAGGACAGAATAGCTGGGCTCAACACAAACCTATGTTTTATGCACGCATGGGCCTATTACATACACAGACGTGAGTAAGTAGCGCTTTCACATAAAGATTGCTTTTCATTACTATATATGTAAAAAATTAAGATATTTCCTACCTTCTTTGATTGCACTTTTAATGAGTGGCTCTCCTCGGGGAGCCTCTTCTGTGTTTGCTCTGAAGAGCGTTCTGCCCAGTACTGATGGGGAATTCTCTTCCTGCCCACTGCAAAGTGTCAATGCCTGAAAGAGCTTCTCTTTCTCTTCAAGTAAGGTTAATATTTGTTCATCTTTTTGATACAGTTGCCCTGCAAATGAAAAATGCTTTACAATTAGGATCTGTGTCAATGTGCATTTGTTTGCTTCAAGGGGTTTGGCATTCCCAAATATGTCTATGGGTATGCAAAACTTGCTTCAAGAAGGTTGAATGTGAGTCAGCTGGTCAACCGTGGGAAAAAAAAAAAGGCAGCTGCACTCCAAAGTTAAAGTTTTAGCTAAAGGTTTAATGAATGGTTCAGTGCAAGAAAGAGCCCCAGAGCCTAGGAGGTTTGCCTTGTACTGGACCATGAATATTCTGACATCTTATAATACAATAGCCCAGCAGGGAAGATTCATTCATCCACATAATTTTCTTTGGATAGATGAAATGAGATTGCGCTTAGATAGACATCACTACTGTGTCCCAAGCAAAACTGTATAAGGAGGTGGAGATGATTTATTTATTACAGGTACTTATATAGCGCCGTCAATCTACTTGCTTTACACATACATACAAACACACACATATATATATATATTTATTACATTAACACCAGTCCTTAACCCTCAAGGGGCATACAATCTAAGGTCCCTAACTCACATTCATACATACGCATACTATCGCCAATTTAGACAGGAGCCAATTAACCTACCAGCATGTCTTTGGAGTGTGGGAGGAAACCGGAGTACCTGGAGGAAACCCATGCAGGCACAGGGAGAACATGCAAATTCCAGGCAGGTGGTGCCATGGTTGGGATTTGAACCGATGACCCTAGTGCTACCAGGTGGAAGTGCTAACCATTTAGCCTACTGACTTCATTGTGCAGCTACCCGCTCAGCACCCCCCTTATACCTACCTGAGCACAATTTCAATCCAACTCTGTGCACGAGAGAAGAGGCTCTCCTTCCTCATTGGCTCAGAGACAGCAGCTGGAGTCCTAAGAGAGCCCTGACAAACATTTGAGCATCGCTGGGTACCCAGCCATCTGCGCGCGCACATGCGCACACACACTAAGACCACTATTAAAGAAGTCCAAAACAATCCGTCTTTGTGCATGTACAGATGGACTCTGCCAGGACCCAGAGGATGTGTATGGAATACTTTTGAAGAATGAGGATATCATTTAGTGTCGCTTTAAGCTTAGTGTAAGTAAACCGTGGGATCGAATGGATCCATTCAGTGCTCCCTTTTCATGGAAATATGTTTTTTTTTATTTTTTAAAAATGGCAGTATAAAATATGATGAGAACTGTGAAAAGCCAATTTTCTGTACCTCTCAATTCTCTGGCTTTGGTATCCCAGTTCTTCTTTTCCTCCTCTGACTCAGATGGAACACCTTCATCCTCATCTTTATCCCTAGAATATTACACAAGATAGATTAGAGGAATATTAGAACAAAAGGAATTAGCTCTTACTGAAGCAGTACAGACAATACTGCTACATACATTGTAGTCATCGTGTCCTGGATGGTGTCAATCCAGCTGTCCCGCTCTTCTTTAGTATTGGTGAGAACCTCCACCATTTCTGGGTCCTTCCCTCCCATGCTGATAAGGAACAGTCCCTTTTCATCATGTGCCACTTTCCTTACGATCAGCTTCTTCAGGGAAACCACTGTAGATTTCTGTTCCTTAAGAAACACAAATAAAATTATTTAAAGAGATATATATATATATATATATATATATATACACACACACACATACACACACTCATCCACTCCCTATGATCAAATGTAAGTTTATGGGTTCATCGAGTGCATCATCCTCCAGGACAGCGGTCGCCAAACTTTCTAAACAAAGGTCACATTTACGGCCCTATAGACTTTAGAAGTTAAAATTGCCCTATTTTAGTTATTAGAGACATAGTGCCCCATCATTGGAATTCGTGGAAGGAATAGTTCTCCATCATTGGTATTCATGGAAGGAATAGTGCCCCATCATTGGTATTCGTGGAAGGAATAGTGCCCCATCATTGGTATTAGCGGGAGGAATAGTACCGTATCATTGGTGTGAGTGGGAGGAATAGTACCACATAATTTTTGTCAGTGGGAGGAATAGTAGTGCCCCATCATTGACATCAGTGGCAGGAATAGTGCCCCGTCATTGGCATCAGTGGCAGGAATAGTGTCCCATCATTGGTGTCAGTAGGAGGAATAGTGCCCCATCATTGGCATCAGTGGCAGGAATAGTTCCCCATCATTGGTGTCAGTGGGAAGAATAGTGCCAAATCATTGATATTAGTGGGAGAAATATTGCCACATCATTGGTATCGGCGGGAGGAATATTGCCGCATGTGTCAGTGGGAAGAATAGTGCCACATCATTGGTGTCAGTGGGAAGAATAGTGCCACATCATTGGTGTCAGTGGAAGGAATAGTGACCCATAATTGGTATTAGTGGGAGGAATAGTGACCCATCATTGGTATTAGTGGGAGGAATACAATATAAAATGTACAATAACCTTAATGGCATGTATATGGTTATAAAGCATATTTTGTGTTATCCACCCACGATTGGTTTAAGTGGGAGGAATAGTGCCAAATCATTGGTATCAGTGGGAGGAATAGGGCCACATCACTGGGGTCAGTGGAAGAATAGTACCCCATCATTGGTGTCAGTGAAGGAATAGTGCCCCAAGGGCTGTATAGTTTGGAGACCATTGCTCTAGGCCTAGGGGGTATACCAACAACCCATTTTAATATTAACCCATATTTAATAGACCATAAAAAGATTTTTGTACTTTTTAGGTGAGTGAACAATGCCCTATTTTTGCCATTAGAGAGAGAGTGTTCCACCACTGATGTCAGGAGGAGGAATAGTGTCCCATCACTGATATCAGTAAGAGGAATAGTGCCTCACTGTTGGTGTCAGTAGGAGGAATAGTGCCTCATTCTTGGTGTCAGTGGAAGGAATAGTAGCCCATCGTTGGTGTCAGTGGGAGGAATAGTAGCCCATCGTTGGTGTCAGTGGGAGGAATAGTAGCCCATCGCTGGTGTCAGTGGGAGGAATAGTAGCCCATCGCTGGTGTCAGTGGGAGGAATAGTAGCCCCATCGCTGGTGTCAGTGGGAGGAATAGTAGCCCATCGTTGGTGTCAGTGGGAGGAATAGTAGCCCATCGTTGGTGTCAGTGGGAGGAAGAGTAGCCCATCAGTGGTGTCAGTGGGAGGAAGAGTAGCCCATCAGTGGTATCAGTGGGAGGAAGAGCACCCCATCAGTGGTATCAGTGGGAGGAAATGCGCCCCATCAGTGGTATCAGTGGGAGGAAGAACGCCCTATCAGTGGGATCAGTGAGGGAAGAGCGCCCCATCAGTGGTATCAGTGAGAGGAAGAGCGCCCCATCAGTGGTATCAGTGGGAGGAAAAGCGCCCCATCAGTGGTATCAGAAGGGAGGAAAGCGCCCCATCAGTGGTATCAGTGGGAGGAAAGGTATCAGTGGGAGGGAGGAAGAGCGCCCATCAGTGGTATCAGTGGGAGGAAGAGCGCCCCATCAGTGGTATCAGTGAGAGGAAGAGCGCCCCATCAGTGGTATCAGTGAGAGGAAGAGCGCCCCATCAGTGGTATCAGTGAGGAGGAAGAGCGCCCCATCAGTGGTATCAGTGGGAAGAGCGCCCCAAAGCGTGGTATCAGTGGGAGGAAGAGCGCCCCATCAGTGGTATCAGTGAGAGGAAGAGCGCCCCATCAGTGGTATCAGTGAGAGGAAGAGCGCCCCATCAGTGGTATCAGTGAGAGGAAGAAGAGCGCCCCATCAGTGGTATCAGTGAGAGGAAGAGCGCCCCATCAGTGGGATCAGTGAGAGGAAGAGCGCCCAATCAGTGGGATCAGTGAGAGGAAGAGCGCCCCATCAGTGGTATCAGTGAGAGGAAGAGCGCTCCATCAGTGGTATCAGTGGGAGGAAGAGCGCCCCATCAGTGGTATTAGTGGGAGGAAGAGCGCCCCATCAGTGGTATTAGTGGGAGGAAGAGCGCCCCATCAGTGGTATTAGTGGGAGGAAGAGCGCCCCATCAGTGGTATTAGTGGGAGGAAGAGCGCCCCATCATCAGTGGTATTAGTGGAAGAGCGCCCCATCATGGTATTAGTGGGAGGAAGAGCGCCCCATCAGCGGTATTAGTGGGAGGAAGAGCGCCCCATCAGCGGTATTAGTGGGTGGAAGAGCGCCCCATCAGCGGTATTAGTGGGAGGAAGAGCGCCCCATCAGCGGTATTAGTGGGAGGAAGAGCGCCCCATCAGCGGTATTAGTGAGGAGGAAGAGCGCCCCATCAGCGGTATTAGTGGGAGGAAGAGCGCCCCATCAGTGGTATTAGTGGGAGGAAGAGCGCCCCATCAGTGGTATTAGTGGGAGGAGAGCACCCCATCAGTGGTATTAGTGGGAGGAAGAGCGCCCCATCAGCGGTATTAGTGGTATTTGGCATATGTATTTATTTATGATACAGACACACACACTCATACACATTTATAGCATTTTCACCTTCATCCTGTTCTAGGTGAATTCACTGCCTGCCTGTAATGCTATTTTAAAGACTGACCAGCTTTTCTTCTGTCCCATCAACAGGACATACGTCTGCATTCTGCAAATGGCTACCAACCACTATCTGTAAGGTGCCCTTATGGATGCGGATTGTTATAAAGCAATTTGCTTATATTACAGTTCTGTTGTACAATAACCTCATTGGCATGTGTATGGTTATCAAGCATATTTTGTTTTAGCCACAAAATTATATGGATGTTTGTTGGCACTAAGCCATGCAGATTTAGCCATAATTCTTCAAAGCCACATCTGCTTAGGATTGGGCCCTCATAATCAATAAGGTGGTCAGGAGGTCCAGCAAATAAGACTGCTGCCCAGAGCAATCATATAAAAGCTTCACTTTGTTTTCTAACTTGTAATGAAAAATGACAGCTGGGACTGGAGGGCAGCTGACAGAGTTCACACAAAAAGTTCAAAACCTGAAGAGTACCAGACACAGGGCTGCAGATTGGCTGCTCTCCCCGTGCCAGGAATTGGGCAGACATTGTTAATGTTTCGCATGCTCAAGGGCTGCTTGTATTAAAACCATATCCCACTTCTTGTTTAGGTTCTCCATTAAATAATTATGGTTTACGCTTTAAGCAAATAAAAAAATTGTTATACCATATTACAGCTACAAAAGCCATTGTATAATTTCATTTTATTAAAAATAACTTTTCACTTTAAGCTGGGGTCAGCTGATTTTTGTTTTTTAAATAATCAACCCCCCCCCCAAAATGGCTTCCTTGTAACTATTATGAACATAACTACAATAGGGGTATTCTGTGCACCATTCATGTACAGACCTCCATAATTAAGATGTGATTGGTTTTTCTGCTTTTCCCAGCAGTTTTTCTCATATTACATCCCTGGGACTAGTACAGTTCCCATGGGTTTACAAAAGGCTCCACAGATCGGGATATATTGCTTCTATTTGTCTATTAGAAGACACAAAAGAGTTGATGGAATAATCCAACGTGAAAGCTCTGATTTAATTTTCTGTAAGGGAGAAGAGGTCCATCACCTTAAGACACTCAAAAAAAAAAAAAAAAAAAAAACTTAGGAGTTAGAGTGGGGTTGGGTTATACGGTGGGTGTCCCCAAAGCTTGCCAGTGTCCAATCACCTAAAGGTATGAGAGTCTATAACCCAGAGTCTATGAACACTCAGCCTGTGTCCTATACTGTACAATTAAAAGAGAAGTTTGGGATTAAAATATATATATATATATATATATATATATATATATATATATATACACACATATATATATATATATATACATACATACACACACCTAGACAGATGCAGTATCTTTCACCTGCTGCTACTATGCCTGAGAACTGAGCAATCAAAGATGGTGGACTGCTCAGTTCTCAGTGAGCATAGAGCTGGTCACTGTCAATCACTGGCTCTCTGTGCTCACTGGGGCACAGGTATGTGCAGGAGCAGCTGGCTAGGCTCTCAGCGGCTTGCCAAGAGCTGAGCCACCTGCCAGTTCAGGCATCTGAATGGATCCCGACTTTAAAGTCGGATCCATTCTGAGCATGGACCAGCCAGCTTTGGCCATACTTCTCCTTTAAGATAAACAGTTGCCCCTTATTCTGTTTCTAAACACTTTGCAATCTTGGAAAGCATTGGGAGCATACTAGTAAATTTCAAAGGCAAAGCCCGTTGATGTAATTTTTGTTACAGCTGTTACAATTCCAACTGATGGGAAAAACTGGATGTAATGCTGGCCAAAGAGGTTTTGAATTTTAGTCGATTCCTCGAATCAGCTGAAAATCAAATTGTGGATGACCCTGTGGGCAACATCCAGCTCGTCAAATTTAGACTGAAAAATCTAAACAGCTTGGCAGAAAAATTGGCGGCCGAACAGTGGCAGTATCCAATTAGATGCAGTCATGGTTTCAGTATTTATAGAGCCGCGAGTACAATAGCTGGTAATGGAGATTTCTACTTCCATTCTTCTAATATTGATGATGAGGGCATAGAGTAATTTCTCTCATTTTGCTAAACTACAGAAATCTAAACATGTATAGCTAGCCTTACGATAAAACAAGAGCAATTTTATACAATTTTGCTACTTAGAAAAGTATTTTTTTTTAGTTTTGGAAGGAGTGGGGAGGGATTAGAACCCCTGTCAGTTTGTATTGTTATCTGTGCCCCCATTAGGGAGATTCCCCCTTCTCTATTTGTCCTGTTTACCATTACCATTGAAACTCAAAAAAAAAAAAAATGCAGGATTTTGGGTTCTCTCCAGAAAAGAAGTAGAGGGGAAATCTTTCAATGGGGACACTGGTTCTGGTGACCTAGGGATCCCCAAGGGATTCTCTCTCAATGGGACAGGGGACACTAGTTCTGGTGACCTAGGGATCCCCAAGGGATTCCCTCTCAATGGGGACACTAGTTCTGGTGACCTAGGGATCCCCAAGGGATTCTCTCTCAATGGGGACACTAGTTCTGGTGACCTAGGGATCCCCAAGGGATTCTCTCTCAATGGGGACACTAGTTCTGGTGACCTAGGGATCCCCAAGGGATTCTCTCTCAATGGGGACACTAGTTCTGGTGACCTAGGGATCCCCAAGGGATTCCCTGTATTTGCAGGGATTTTCTCTCACTTCCTGTCAGGCTATGGGATAGAACCTGAAGGTAAATCTTCAAAATGGGACATAGATGGTGAGAAAAAATATGACAGGGGTTATATAACTCTCACTTACTCTATCAAAAAAAATAAAAATAAAAAAAAAGGTTTGGCTAGAGATCTACTTTAATGGGTAATATTCCTTAATGCTTTTATTACATTGTAAAGCAACAAATAAGCCAACTAGGTCATAATTTCACTGTTCTAAGCACAGTTCAGTGACGTAAAGAAGAAGCCTCACCAGTGATGCAAAGACATATTTCTGGTCCTTTTCTTGAAGGAAAACTAACACATCAGTCAGCAGCACAGCCAGCACCTCTGTAGAACAGAGAAAAGAGTTACTGTAAGAATTAAGCACATGACCATAGCCCTGCCTGTCATCTGATAAGAATATTCTTCTGCTAGTCAGCTGCTTTACGGACAGTATTGGCTCAGCCTGCGGTGTATCAGGTTCTACATTAGGAATATGTTCCCACTTACAGTAAAAATGAAAACCTAGCTGAGGTGGACGGCAATGGCCTGCAATTTAATGATTCAGTTGGAAATGATGATTACTCACATGCAATGTGGTTCCTGGTCTGCAAAAAATAACTTTGAATTACAAGTTATTATTTTTTTTTTTCCTTGAACTTCCTGGCTATGCTGATAGAGAAATTTCATAGCAAAGAAAGCCAGGTTACCAAGCCTTGTAAAGTTGGTGTTGATGGATCAAGGAAAAACAAATTGCTCCTCCAAAAGGGTGGAGACTGGGAGAACTGGTTGTTCTTGGCAGTACATAAGCTTGTGGGCGAGGATGACTAACTCACAACTGGCTTCCATTGATGTCACTGTATAAAATACAGTGTTCTTGCAGTAGACTGAGCTCCCATTGTAAAGTAATGTACCCAGCACTGGACACCGCATGGTTACCACGCTGCAATTGATTTAAACTTTCATACACGGCTGCCACTGTGGACGTTTTTAATGAGGACAGTTCCAGGGCCGTCATTCATAGTATGAAGCAGGAAGGACACCATTGCTGATCTATGGTAGAATAATCGATTTGCACAACTGCCAGTTGTGCAGATCGATTGACGGTTGTGCAGATCGATTTTTCTACCAAGACTTTCAACAAATGAGCGTCTGAGGATTATGCCGGGTCGCTGACGTGGACTTTTAGTTGGGGTGTAGCACATTTTCTTTTTGTTTTACTGCTGACCTATACCTTTTAAAGTCGTTGTAAAGCTTTTTTTTTTCTTTCTTTTAATTAAAATAACAAACATGGTATACTTATCTGCTCTGTGCAGTGGTGTTCCCCAGAGCAGCCCTGATCCTTCTCTTCTTGGGTCCCCAACCGGTGCTCCTGTCCCTTCCCCCCAGCCGAGTGCTCTGGGGGCACTCATGCATGCTCACTCCAAAGCCAGCCCTGTATGTCTATAAGACATACAGAAAGCGGCTTGGCCTCGCCTCATGCTCCCTCCTCAGTGGCTCAGATTGACAGCAGCAGGAACCAATGACTCCTGCTGCTATGTTTCATGTGCCAGGGAGGAGAGGGAGACCCGGGAGAGCCAAGGCTCTCACGCACATCACCGGATGAAGATCAGGCTCAGGCAATTATCAGGGGGCTGAATGGGAAGCTGCACACTGAAGTTTTTTTTTTTTAACCTTCATGTATAGAAAGCATGAAGGTGAATAACCTTCAGCCTTTAGAACCACTTCAAAATGATTAGATCCCAGATTCTCATGCTTGTCCAATGGATTCAGTGTTTTATGAGTAACTAATTCAGAACACATATCTTTCTGACATTTCTATTAGGCATATTTGTTCAGGGATATGGTCTTAGAAAGTATGAAATTCAAAGACAGCCAGCCATCTAGCATTTTCAGAAGGAAGTCAACAATGCCAGCTCCTGTGTTTCCCACAGTACAAGTTTTCTTTACTTGTCCCTTGTTACATAGGGCTCTTTCACATGGGCAGCAGTCTCTACCGCCCTCTGAAAAGCAATTTGTGGTGGACCACTTTTCATAGGGTGGTACAACAGAGGCATATAGAAAGCAAACTCAAAAGTCTAACCTTTAATCCTATTGGCTGGACTGGATCTCAGGAACAGAGTGCCATCTCGGACCAATTTCCTTCGTTTAAGGTCCTCCTTTGCAAACATTTGACCACTCTTCATGCGTTGTATTGATTTACTATCAGTCTTGTTATAGATCTCATTAAGGCGCTTCTTCTTCTCATAATTTTTTACTTTATTATTAACCTCAGTAATAACATCCTTTACCATGTTCAGGGCTTTTTCCACCTCCTGATGCTCAATTTCATTCTCTGTAAACAGATCAAAAATTTGATTGGAACACAGGCACACAGACCCTTCCACTTATCAGGATGGAGAATTTATTGAGTGGAGGAAAAGTCTTCTCTGCTACTGTCAGTCAAAACAAGTACCAAACTACAGGGTTCAGGGAGATAGAGACACTGCTACTTTTGAAATAAATGCTTAAAGTGGTTGTAAACCTCAGACATGAAATATGAACAAAGCATATCCCTCTTTACTGTGTACTTGTCTCAGTCCAGAGCACAAAGTGTCACTTCTCTCTGCTGCCATATTCCTCCTACTATTTGTTTCAGACACTTCAGACAAGTTTTCCTGACATAGAGGGGTTTATTTACTAAAGCTCGAGAGTCCAAAATCAGACTCCCTTCTGCATAGAAACCAATCAGCTTCTAACCTCAGCTTGTTCAATGAAGCTTTGGCAATGAAACCTGGAAGCTGATTGGTTTCTATGCAGAAGGGAGTCTGATTTTGGACTCTCCAGCTTTAGTAAATAAACCCCAGAGAATCTATTGGGCATTGCCAAGAGAAAGATGAGACACATGAGACCGAACAATGCAGAAGAGCTGAAGGCCGCTATTGAAGCATCCTGGTCTTCCATAACACCTCAGCAGTGCCACAGGTGTGATAGCTTCCATGCCACGCCGCATTGAGGCAGTAATTGCTGCAAAAGGGGCCCAAACCAAGTACTGAGTACATATGCATGCTTATACTTTTCAGAGGTCCGATATTGTTCTATGTACAATCCTTGTTTTATTGATTGCATGTAATATTCTCATTTTCTGAGATTGTGGATTTGGGGTTTTCATGAGCTGTAAGCCATAATCATCACAATTATGACAAATCACGGCTTGAACTATCTTGCTTTGCATGTAATGAGTCTATCTCATATATTAGTTTCACCTTTTTAAGTTGCATTATTGAAATAAATGAACTTTTGCACGATATTCTAATTTTTCGAGTTTCACCTGTACACACACACACACTTTTCTTTTTTTACTGAGATCAAATTTGCAGATCTAGTTTCAACCCTTCAACCCTTTGATCTGAAGATGAAGGAACAGACAGATGCAAATGTAACCATATGTAACATGGTTTATAAACACTGATTAAGGCTCCATGCACACTAGCATTTTTTTAAGCTCCTAGAAGCTATTATGAGAATTTTTTTTCTCCTGCTCCTAGAAGTGACTGCTTTTTTGACAGCTAGAGTTGTGGACTTCACTCCGAGTAAAAAGCAATATGACTTTCATTAAACACAGCTGACAATTACTGTGTAGCGGGAGGAAGTTGTCCCAGAAGCAGAGCAGAGAGACTGGACGTGCTACACATGCCCTGTTTATAATGACAACGTATGAGTAGCATGCCCAAAGTCTACAACCAGTTATAAACATTTTTGAGTTGCCCTGATGAAGGGGGCGATGAGTGGTCCCTGAAAAGTGCTTGCTGTAATAATTTTATGGGTGGAATAAATTATTTTTGCACGCCAACATCTTGGTGTGATGCTGCAATTTTTAGACTCCATTATTACTTCTGCACTAAATGACAGTCTGATGAAAGTTCAACGCTACTCCTTCCCCCAGTACGTTATACTCGCCTATCCCTCCTGCTTCTTACCTTTGTCTAAGCCCATGTCCTGTTGCTCAAACAGAGCAGGGTTTCCAGGTATCGGGGAGCATGTAACCACCCACATGTGACAGTGCTCATGCCCAATGGCAAATTGCCAGTCTCAACCATTTTCACGTGCTCCTGATAAGTATCTTGGAAACAAACTCAGCTCACATCAATCCAGCCCGTACAGATGTGAACTGAGTATGCGTCTAAGATACTTACAAAGAGCCCCCTCTTTGGAATATATGTGCCTTGACTACTCTGACTACCTTGCTGTCTTTATGGTGACTTACTTAAATTGGGTCTGGATGTTCCCCATTAGGAATTTGGTCCTTCTATTTTAAAGATTATCTGTACAAAGACCATTGGTTGGTTACTGAATGTTCCTGAATTTCTCACCAGAGGCAGTGGCTTCACCTTGGTCTACTCATTTGCACCTCTATGGCCAACAAGCACATGCTATGAATCCCAGTCTACCCTACTGGCTATTACTCTATTAAAGATTAGGAGTGGGTTCCAGTGTACTGATTCTGTCACATGGTCTCCTGCAGAAGGATTCCCGAAACGAATTCACATGTGAATTGTAATAAGAATCTTTGCATGTTGTGAACCCTTCGGTAGAGAGTAATTTTTAAAGTTGTGTAATAGATTTTTAATGGTACATAATAAAGTTGTTTTTACTCTACTCCATTTCTCTTCTATATGTCCACACAAAGTCCATGACTACATATTCTGTTCATAGCTGTACATGATTTGCTGGGATGTGGACATGTAGCTCACACAGACAATGATGAAACATCACTAATCAATTACGACTCAGGATGTACAACTTATGTAGATAAAAACCGTAGTATATAAAGTCAATTTATTAAAGACACACATAATGATTACCTTTTGTATATTGCAGTATTCTCTGTAAAATCACTGGGTACTTTGTTATCCTTTGAGTAACCAGTAGTATACATTCTGGAATCCCTAGACGGCGGACTAATGTGCTACTTCCCTTTTTCTGAAACAAATCAGAGTCTTAGTTCTATGCACAGTTTTGAAACCAGAAATAACCACAATGTAAGATGCAGCTGCTATCTCCAATACCTTAATAAATGCCTGAAACCTCTTCTCCTTGGACAGCAAATCCTTGAAATAATTCACTGCTTCATTGTGGTGACCACAAAATTTACCATATGTTCTCTTCATTTGTTCAGCTTTTTCACCTGAGAACTGAAAAGACAGCAACACATAAATATTGCATTTTCAGTAATAAAATATGGAACCTTTTCCATTGTTACAACCAACTATAAAAGCAAACAGTAACAAAGCTTTGCTCATAAAAAGTCAACTGTTTACTAATGTTCATAGGGTGTCTACTAGATGTCTGACAAGACTTTAAATACTTCTCCCATTCAATACCTTTATAACCCAGAGCTATTCCATTTAAAGGGCAAACTACAAAGTCTGGCTGTTAACTGGCAAAAGTTACAAAGCTTGATGGTAATTTCAACAATATTGTTGCTCAATCATTAATTTCAAAATGTTATAATCCCAGAACCAAATGCTCTCACTGGTCACAAAAGCAAAATTGCCAATCATGCAGGCGAGCCTAGATTTTTTTTTTGTTCCATAAAAGTTTTAGGCACCATGCACACTGGACACAAAAAATGCCAGTGACAAATGCAATGGCAGAAAAAAAAAGATAACTTGAGCAGTTTTTGTACTAGCATTTAGTAGCATTCAGAAGCGATTCGTGTATTTTTCTGCCAGAAATACTCTCTCAGAAACGCAAAACAGAAGGGTTTTTTTTCTGCCTCTAAACCCTGCGCTTAAAAAAATGCCTCTAGACTACAGTTGCTTCTACAGTCAAAAAGCTAAACTCCTCTACATGCAGATTTTCTTCTTTTTTTTTTTTAAGCCAGTGTGCATGGAGATTTATTGAGAATTTACTATACAAACAATGAAAGGGGTTACAAATTTGTAACCCTAAACCAGGAAGAACATACGTACAATGCAATCCTACATCTTAATGGTGTGACAATAAATCCCCAGTAGGACAAAAATAAAGAAAAGAAAAAAATAGAAACAATTTTTTATAAAAAATATTATAAAAGAAAAAGGAAGCACTCAACGATCCAACCTCTGAGCCAACAACCCCCATCCCTCAACTTCCTCCTGCACTCCAGGTCGGCCAGTCATGACCTCAAGTCTTGGACTGAGGGGGCCAGGATATCATGCCCACCCCACATCACACTTGCAGAGATACAAAGTCTTGATAAAGCTTTGCTCAAGCCTATAGGTAAAATGCATCTCCTGTTCAACTTAACTCTGCAACTTTGTCCATCTGTTCCACCAACTCCACCTAATATCCAAGTAACTCTGCAACTTTCACAAGACCTCCTTCTCTCTAGTTCCCTGGTCTCCTCCTAGACTATGCCCGCCTCCAGAGACTTCTCCAGGGTGCATGCAAACCGAATTCTTGTGTCATCCTGCCCCAACCCAAATTGGGGGGGATTACTTTAACCTTTTTTTTACTCTACTGTCTCCATGATAAATTCACCACATAAAAACAGCAATGTCTCTTCAGGGAAGCCTAAAGCATTCAACCCCCTGATAATTGATCCGCTTTACTACACTACTTCCTGGTTCACCAGAATATCCCCAATCCCTGATGACAAAGTTATTCTCGCTTTTTCAGCCACAGACTCCTTTTTTCTCTCCAGAATCCGCTAAGCTCGAAAGAGCATGGGCCCTCAGCAGGTCATCAATACATGAAAGATCCTCTCTGAATTTTTTGCTCAAATTGTTCAGCTCAATGTCAGCATTCCCCGGCAGTAGACTTCACTCATAATCTTCAGAGTCCGGACATGGTGCATTTCTGTCTGCATGAGCTCTGCATAATAATAATAAAGATGAATTAAACTCTATCTAGACTATGTGACCCCTGAGGAAAAAAGTCATGTGACTGCAAACTTTCAATAAAGACCTTGTGTATCTGTGCGCAGCGGCCATAGGGGAGCAAACTGGGGTAGTTACTTTACTCCCCCCTTTTTTTGCTAAATGTAGGGTTTGAAATCACAAAACTGTATAAGGGAACTACAGCAATCTGTCAAGATATATAAATAAAAATGAAAAAAAGCATTCAAAAGACAGGATAATTGATCAGCTTTACTACTATTTCAGATATTACCTATTCACCAAGAATATCCCCTATTCCTCCTGATACCAAGTTATTCTCGCTATTTTTCAGCCACAGACTCCTTTTTTCTCTCCAGAATCCGCTGGAAGAACTGGCTATGGATGTTCCCAGGACACCAATACGATGGAAAGCTATCCTCCCACTGACTTTTTTGCTCCAACGATGGGCATGCGCTATTCAGCTTTTTGGTCAAATTCCCCGGACAGCATTCCAACGACTGTAGACTCATATTCCTCCCTGAGAGTCCGGACATGGTGCATTTTCTGTCTGCATGAGCTCTGCACAAAAGGACCAGAAAGATGAATTAAAATCATATCTACACATTATAGCTGACCACTGAAAAAGTCATGTGACTAAAAACCAGTTCAATAAAGACCAACGATATTTCCCCCCAGCGTATAAGACGACTGGGGCGTATAAGACGACCCCCTACACCCTGTTAAAATATGGGTTTGAGCTATACTCCCGCTGTATAAGACTACCCCTCTTCAAACCCACTGACACCAATATGGGGCGAAAAAACATCAGATTTGATTTCAATATGGTATGCTATTTCTCCCATGATATTCCAATGATGGGGCACTATTCCTTCCACTGATACCAATGATGGGGCACTATTCCTGACACCATCATGGGTAGTATTCCCCCCACTGACACCAACGATGGGGCGCTATTCTCCCCACTGACACCAACGATGGGGAGAATAGCTCCCCATCGTTGGTGTCATGGGGAGAATAGCCCCCATCGTTGACACCAACATGGGGGAGAATTCTCCCCATCGTTGACACCACGTGGGGCGAATAGCGGCCCATCGTTGTGTCAGTGGGGAATAGCTCCCCGTTGGTGATAGCGGCCCACCAACGAGTGGGGCGAGATTAGCGCCCCATCGTTGGTGTCAGTGGGGAGAATAGCGCCCCATCGTTGGTGTCAGTGGGGAGAATAGCGCCCCATCGTTGGACACCAGTGGGGAGAATAGCGCCCCATCGTTGGTGTCAGTGGGGCGCTAGCGCCCCACTGACGTTGGTGTCAGTGGGGAGAATAGCGCCCCATCGTTGGGTCAGTCCCCCCAATAGCGCCCCATCGATGGTGTCAGTGGGGAGAATAGCGCCCCATCGTTGACACCACGATGGGGAGAATAGCGCCCCATCGTTGGTGTCATGGGGAGAATAGCGACCCATCGTTGGTGTCAGTGGGGAGAATAGCGCCCCCATCGTTGGTGTGGGGAGAATAGCGCCCCATCGTTGGTGTCAGTGGGGAGAATAGCGCCCCACGTTGGTGTCAGTGGGGAGAATAGCGCCCCATCGTTGGTGTCAGTGGGGAGAATAGCGCCCCATCGTTGGTGTCAGTGGGGAGAATAGCGCCCCATCGTTGGTGTCAGTGTGGGAGGAATAGCGCCCCATCGTTGGTGTCAGTGGGGAGGAATAGCGCCCCATCGTTGGTGTCAGTGGGGAGGAATAGCGCCCCATCGTTGGTGTCAGTGGGGAGAATAGCGCCCCATCGTTGGTGTCAGTGTGGGGAATAGCGCCCCATCGTTGGTGTCAGTGGGGAGAATAGCGCCCCATCGTTGGTGTCAGTGGGGAGAATAGCGCCCCATCGTTGGTGTCAGTGGGGAGGAATAGCGCCCCATCGTTGGTGTCAGTGGGGAGGAATAGCGCCCCATCGTTGGTGTCAGTGGGGAGAATAGCGCCCCATCGTTGGTGTCAGTGGGGAGAGAATAGCGCCCCATCGTTGGTGTCAGTGTGGGAGGAATAGCGCCCCATCGTTGGTGTCAGTGGGGAGGAATAGCGCCCCATCGTTGGTGTCAGTGGGGAGGAATAGCGCCCCATCGTTGGTGTCAGTGGGGAGAATAGCGCCCCATCGTTGGTGTCAGTGGGGAGGAATAGCGCCCCATCGTTGGTGTCAGTGGGGAGAATAGCGCCCCATCGTTGGTGTCAGTGTGGGAGGAATAGCGCCCCATCGTTGGTGTCAGTGTGGGGAGGAATAGCGCCCCATCGTTGGTGTCAGTGGGGAGGAATAGCGCCCCATCGTTGGTGTCAGTGGGGAGGAATAGCGCCCCATCGTTGGTGTCAGTGGGGGAGAATAGCGCCCCATCGTTGGTGTCAGTGGGAGGAATAGCGCCCCATCGTTGGTGTCAGTGTGGGAGGAATAGCGCCCCATCGTTGGTGTCAGTGGGGAGAATAGCGCCCCATCGTTGGTGTCAGTGGGGAGGAATAGCGCCCCATCGTTGGTGTCAGTGGGGAGGAATAGCGCCCCATCGTTGGTGTCAGTGGGGAGAATAGCGCCCCATCGTTGGTGTCAGTGGGGAGAATAGCGCCCCATCGTTGGTGTCAGTGTGGGGGAATAGCGCCCCATCGTTGGTGTCAGTGGGGAGAATAGCGCCCCATCGTTGGTGTCAGTGGGGAGAATAGCGCCCCATCGTTGGTGTCAGTGGGGAGGAATAGCGCCCCATCGTTGGTGTCAGTGGGGAGAATAGCGCCCCATCGTTGGTGTCAGTGGGGAGAATAGCGCCCCATCGTTGGTGTCAGTGGGGGGGAGAATAGCGCCCCATCGTTGGTGTCAGTGGGGAGAATAGCGCCCCATCGTTGGTGTCAGTGGGGAGAATAGCGCCCCATCGTTGGTGTCAGTGGGGAGAATAGCGCCCCATCGTTGGTGTCAGTGGGGGAATAGCGCCCCATCGTTGGTGTCAGTGGGGAGAATAGCGCCCCATCGTTGGTGTCAGTGGGGGGAATAGCGCCCCATCGTTGGTGTCAGTGGGGGGAATAGCGCCCCATCGTTGGTGTCAGTGGGGGGAATAGCGCCCCATCGTTGGTGTCAGTGGGGGGGGGAATAGCGCCCCATCGTTGGTGTCAGTGGGGGGAATAGCGCCCCATCGTTGGTGTCAGTGGGGGGAATAGCGCCCCATCGTTGGTGTCAGTGGGGGGAATAGTGCCCCATCATTGGTGTCAGTGGAAGGAATAGTGCCCCATCATTGGTGTCAGGGGAGGAGGAATAGTGCCCCATCATTGGTATCAGTGGGGAGAAACAGTGCCTCAACGTTGGTGTCAGTGGGGGAGGAACAGTGCCTCATCGTTGGTGTCAGTGGGGGAGGAACAGTGCTTCATCGTTGGTGTCAGTGGGAGAGGAACAGTGCCTCATCGCTGGTGTCAGTGGGAGAGGAACAGTGCCTCATCGTTGGTGTCAGTGTGGAGGAGGAATTGTGCCCCATCGTTAGTGTCAGTGGGGGAGAGGAGCGGCTGCTCCTTCTTCCAGTGCGGCCGCTCGATTTTCGTGGGGCCGCTCGGCTCCGCCTCCTCGTTGGTGATTGGTCGCCTGTGTGCCTTTCCAGTGCTGGCGCCCAATCACCGGTGAGGAGGTGGAGCCGAGCGGCTGCGTGACCATCGAGCGGCCGAACTGAAAGAAGGAGCAGCCGCGCTTCCTGGACCGGATCGTCGTGGGACCGGAGCCAGGTAAGGTACAGCAGCCCCTCTGTCCACCCCTGTACTTAGTGTCCGTTTGGAGGAGGAGGGGGGGGGGCGGCGCGCGCGCCGCCCCTCGAAAAAGTGCCGCCCTGACACCGGCTCGCACCGGCGTATAAGACGTCCCCCGACCTTTCAGAAAATTTTCAGGGGTTGAAAAGTCGTCTTATACGCCGGAAAATACGGTAATTATTTGTTAAAAACATTCAATGTTCACACAAGTCAAACAAAATGCCATGTATTTAGTGTATGAAAAACCGGTGGCTGTACTCCATGATAAGGCTAGAAAAAATGAAAAAGGTTTGGTCCCCTTAGATTACTTAATATTCCCTAGACACTTTGATGATTCTAAAGGCTTCATTCATACTTTAGCATTTGCAATCTTGACCAGATCTGCCGCGATTCTGCCCACTATCCCAAAACTCTCTGCACAAACGACAAATTGCACCACGCCTGTTCGGGTGCCACTCATTTTCAATGGCACCAAAATGCAGCACGTTTCTGCCACGATAAATCGCGCTGCAATTGCGGCAAACAGCATCACATGGAGGAAGCTTGTTGCTCACAAAGGAGTAGGAGCTTAGATCGCAAATGCTGAAGTGTGAACGGGTCCTTAAGGACAATCTAATATCCACTTAGTTTTGGGAGAAATGGTTTTAAAAATGGTGGTGCTTCAACTGGTCTTGCTCCTTTCCTTCCCTTATCCCAACCCATTCCCAACTGTCTCCTTTTACTCTTTTTTTTTTTTTTTCCCCTCTCTGACTTGCCCTCTTTGTGAATGGTCTTACTCTTCTCTCTTAATCCCGGTAACTGGGGCTGGATTGTAAACAGAGGCGCAGATGGAAGATCCTAACTGTTGTGGATCTCAAAATATAACTATACTGCGTTCTTCTTTATATATCGCACAGAACATTATACCTCTGATTTTCTTTGTGTCTACTTGAATTACAGTCTGAAATCTTTTCAACAAAAATCTATTTAAAGAGAAGATAATAAAGCAACTGAGGTTTCACTCACCGGCCATTTTATTAGGTACACCTTGCTAGTGCCAAGAAAATATCCCACCACACCATTACACCACCAGCCTGAACTGTTGATACAAGGTGGGCTGGATCCACGCTTTCATGTTGTTTACACCAATTTCTGACCCTACCATCTGAATGTCGCAGCAACCAGTCTGCTCATTCTCCTCTGACATCAAGGCATTTTCGTCCACACAACTGCCCTCACTGGATATTTTCTCTTTTTTGGACCATTCTCTGTAAACCCTAGAGATAGCTGTGCGTGAAAATCCCAGATCAGCAGTTTTTCAAATACTTAGACCAGCCCGTCTGACACCAACAACCATGCCACTTTCAAAGTCCCCTTTCTTCTTCTTATATATATATATATACAGTCAGGTCCATAAATATTGGGACATCAACACAATTCTAACATTTTTGGCTCTATACACCACCACAATGGATTTGAAATGAAACAAACAAGATGTGCTTTAACTGCAGACTGTCAGTTTTAATTTGAGGGTATTTACATCCAAATCAGGTGAACGGTGTAGGAATTACAACAGTTTGCATATGTGCCACCCACTTGTTAAGGTACCAAAAGTAATGGGACAGAATAATAATCATACATCAAACTTTCACTTTTTAATACTTGGTTGAAAATCCTTTGCAGTCAATTACAGCCTGAAGTCTGGAATGCATAGACATCACCAGACGCTGGGTTTCATCCCTGGTGATGCTCTGCCAGGCCTCTACTGCAACTGTCTTCAGTTCCTGCTTGTTCTTGGGGCATTTTCCCTTCAGTTTTGTCTTCAGCAAGTGAAATGCATGCTCAATCGGATTCAGGTCAGGTGATTGACTTGGCCATTGCAAACATTCCACTTCTTTCCCTTAAAAAACTCTTTGGTTGCTTTTGCAGTCTGCTTTGGGTCATTGTCCATCTGCACTGTGAAGCGGCGTCCAATGAGTTCTGAAGCATTTGGCTGAATATGAGCAGATAATATTGCCCGAAACACTTCAGAATTCATCCTGCTGCTTTTGTCAGCAGTCACATCATCAATAAATACAAGAGAACCAGTTCCGTTGGCAGCCATACATGCCCACGCCATGACACTACCACCACCATGCTTCACTGATGAGGTGGTATGCTTAGGATCATGAGCAGTTCCTTTCCTTCTCCATACTCTTCTCTTCCCATTACTCTGGTACAAGTTGATCTTGGTCTCATCTGTCCATAGGATGTTGTTCCAGAACTGTGAAGGCTTTTTTAGATGTCGTTTGGCAAACTCTAATCTGGCCTTCCTGTTTTTGAGGCTCACCAATGGTTTACATCTTGTGGTGAACCCTCTGTATTCACTCTGGGGAAGTCTTCTCTTGATTGTTGACTTTGACACACATACACCTACCTCCTGGAGAGTGTTCTTGATCTGGCCAACTGTTGTGAAGGGTGTTTTTCTTCACCAGGGAAAGAATTCTTCTGCTCATCCACCACAGTTGTTTTCCGTGGTCTTCCGGGTCTCTTGGTGTTGCTGAGCTCACCGGTGCATTCCTTCTTTTTAAGAATGTTCCAAACAGTTGTTTTGGCCACGCTAATGTTTTTGCTATCTCTCTGATGGGTTTGTTTTGTTTTTTCAGCCTAATGATGGCTTGCTTCACTGATAGTGACAGCTCTTTGGATCTCATCTTGAGAGTTGACAGCAACAGATTCCAAATGCAAATAGCACATTGTAATTGGGATAATGAGGGAATAACACACACCTGGCCATGGAGCAGCTGAAAAGCCAATTGTCCCATTACTTTTGGTCCCTTAAAAAGTGGGAGGCACACATGCAAACTGTTGTAATTCCTACACCGTTCACCTGATTTGGATGTAAATACCCTCAAATTAAAGCTGACAGTCTGCAGTTAAAGCACATCTTGTTCGTTTCATTTCAAATCCATTGTGGTGATGTATAGAGCCAAAAATGTTAGAATTGTGTCGATGTCCCAATATTTATGGACCTGACTGTATATGAAATTTTAATTTTTTTAATATATATATATTTTTACACAAAATCTAACAATTCTGTGGCGTAAAATCAAGATCAAGGCAAAATATTATGATATGGAATAGTGGTAGACTGCAATCTGCTTTCTTTGTACTGCTCCAGATGGAAGGCCATTACCCACCCCCAGAAGAGTACTCATTGAGTGGGCCAACACTGTTCTCTTTACACTGATGTGTTCAATTACATCATCCAGTTCCTGTGTGCTAACACAAGTCATCTTCTGGAGTTTAGTTCTTACCATAGATCACGTCCTGCCGTTTCACCACATCTTTCTTCAGTTGTTTAAGAAACTTGCTGTCCACTGTCTGACTCCAAGATTCTGCCTCCAGCTGCTGGGAAAATGCTTCAAACTCCCCCATGAGTTGTCCCTCATTCATGTCTGTGCCTGTCCACAAAGAGATTCCATTACGAATGGCAAGTCCAACTAAAATACATTATTTTGCCCAAAATAAAACAATCATAAAACCCTAAATGAAGGTACTGGTCTTGACGTTACAGCTTACAGAAAATATAAAAGGCATAAATAATATACTAAAGTAAACTAGTATACACCCTGTTCCAAATTATTATGCAAATTCTATTTAAGTGTCACAAAGATGAAATATTTTGTTTTTCAGTTTAACTCATGGATGACATTGTGTGTCAGGGTTCTTTTGATCACTGAAAACAATCTCGGACACCTGTGATAATTAGATTGGCAGGTGAGCCCAATAGCAGCAAACAGATATTTGAAGCTGCTGGTGCCTCTGGAGTCCCACGGACATCAAGGTGGAGAGTCCTCCAGAGTCTTGCAATTGTGCATAAACCTTATATTCGGCCACTACTAACCAATGCTCACAAGCAGAAACGGCTGCATTGGGCAGAAAAATACATGAAGACTCATTTTCAAACAGTCCTGTTCACTGATGAGTGCCGTGCAACCCTGTATGGTCCAGATGGATGGAGTAGTGGATGGTTGGTGGACGGCCACCCTGTTCCAACAAGGCTGTGACATCAGCAAGGCGAAGGTGGAGTCATGTTTTGGGCCGGAATCATGGGAACAGAGCTGGTCGGCCCCTTTAGGGTCCCCGAAGGTGTAAAGATGACCTCTGCAAAGTATGTGGCGTTTATGACTGACCACTTTCTTCCCTGGTACAGAAGGAAGAACTATGATTTCCGTAATAAAATCATCTTCATGAATGACAATGCACCATCTCATGCTGCAAAGAATACCTCTGCATCAATGGCTGCTATGGGGATAAAAGGAGAGAAAGCCATGGTGTGGCCTCCATCCTCCCCTGACCTCAATCCAATTGAGAACCTTTGGAGCATCCTCAAGCAAAAGATCTATGAGGGTGGGAGGCAGTTTACATCCAAACAGCAGCTCTGGGAGGCTATTCTGACATCTTGCAAACAAATTCAAGCAGAAACTGTCCAAAAACTCACAAGTTCAATGGATGCAAGACTTGTGAAGCTGCTATCAAATAAGGGGCCCTATGTTACAATGTAACGTGATCTGTTAAAATGTTTAAACAGTTAAAATGTTGCTAAAAATTTGATTGAAATAGCTTTTGATTTCAGTAAATATGCTGCAAACACAACAAATGACAATTTTCAGTTCTTTACAACCTATAAAGTGTTTTGAAACTTCCTGTGCGGAATAATTTGGAACAGTGCATTGGAAGTGTTTTATGTTTAAAAAAAATACTGTTATCATTAGGAGGTTTGTTCAATAAAATGTGAATTGTACTCTTAATAGTTGATAACATGAGAATTATGCTGATTGTTATTTACATCAATTATTTTTGTTAATGAGAAAAATATCATTTGCATAATAATTTGGAACAGGGTGTAGATGTTCACACTATCAGTGGGTTTCAGTATATTGTAACCTTGTCACAACTCTTGACTTAAGCTGGCCATATATGGTTCAATGGTCCAGCAGGCTGGAAAAAAAAAAAAAACACATTCCAACATTCATACATTTGAGGTGGACAGAGGAATCTTCCCCACTATGTCACTGTATTATGACAGCGGGACAACCGCACTGTCAGAATACACTGATCAGCCACATGTGCTGATCAAAGCAAAATTTTCCAGCAAGCTGGTTCATTAGTAGTTGACTGATAGATAAGAAAGGGGAACCAGAGATGTAACTGGCCGAATTTCGATCCATGTATGGCCAGCTTTAGTCACACATATTTACAAGTTAATGGATGGATGAAACGTATTGTCTCCTCCCAGTTATTGACAGTCTAAGAGTTAAGTCACTCAAGCACGCGGTGCAGTTTAACACCTATATTCAGGGTGTAACATGTTACTGTTCCAGTAGGCAGCCCCCCACCCCAATCCCCCGTTTTCACAGTGGGACGGGGATCTTCTCCCCACACTCGCTGTCATAATAAAAAATAAAAAAAAAAAACCACGCCCATGCGGTGCTCCACCATTCATTCATACAGTTCTGTGAATGGGAGAACTTCAGCTACCAGCAGCCATTGCAGCTGACAGCTTGTAGTTCTCAATGAACTACCAGGCTGCTGGTGGGCACTCTAGGTAGTTAATCAAAGCTTCTTGTCATTCAGTAACTGCCTGCCCATACCAGGAGCCCGAGATTGAACCCACGATATGCTGATTACAGGTGCAATGCTTTACAGGTTCCTGGTTAAAAAAAAAAAAAAAAACTTGTCCTAAGCTATGTGTCAATTTCTTTTCTTGTGACAATTGCTTTACCATACCATCCTTCCTGGTTTGTGGGTTTTACAGTTTTTTTTTTATAATCTACCTGTGGCCCCTTGGAGGCCTTTGGGGCTATGTGTGGTCACCACATGGGTGTGTGTTTCTGGGCATATTTACGACAATGCTGCTCCTCCCATCTCCTGTTGAAACAGTCTATCTGAGAAATGCATTAAGAATATATACCTTCACCATCACAAAAAGCTCTGTGATTTAATGGGTCATATACAGTGGGGATCGAAAGTTTGGGCACCCCAGCTAAAAATTTGTATTAATGTGCATAAAGAAGCCAAGGAAAGATGGAAAAATCTCCAAAAGGCATCAAATTACAGATTAGACATTCTTTTAATATGTCAACAAAAGTTAGATTTTATTTCCATCATTTACACTTTCAAAATAACAGAAAACAAAAAAATGGCGTCTGCAAAAGTTTGGGCACCCTGCAGAGTTAATATCTTGTACTGCCCCCTTTGGCAAGTATCACAGCTTGTAAACACTTTTTGTAGCCAGCCAAGAGTCTTTCAATTCTTGTTTGAGGTATCTTTGCCCATTCTTCCCTACAAAAGTCTTCCAGTTCTTTGAGATTTCTGGGCTGTCTGTCACGCACTGCTCTTTTAAGGTCTATCCATAGATTTTCAATTATGTTGAGGTCAGGAGATTGTGAAGGCCATGGCAAAACCTTCAGTTTACGCCTCTTGATGTAATCCCCCGTGGCTTTCGAGGTGTGTTTAGGATCATTATCCATTTGTAGAAGCCATCCTCTCTTTAACTTTCACTTTTTCACAGATGGCATCAAGTTACCATCCAAAATTTGCTGAAATTTTATTGAATCCATTTTTCCTTCTACTCGTGAGATGTTCCCTGTGCCACTGACTGCAACACAACCCCAAAGCATGATTGATCCAACCCCATGCTTAACAGTTGGACAGAGGTTCTTTTCATTAAATTCTGTGCCCCTTCTTCTCCAAACGTACCTTTGCTCATTCCGGCCAAAAAGTTCAATTTTAACCTCATCGGTCCACAGAACCTGTTTCCAAAATGCATCAGGCTTGTCTATATGTTCATTTGCAAAGTTCAAACGATGATTTTTGTGGTGAGGACGTAGAAGAGGTTTTCTTCTGATGACTCTTCCACGAACACCATATTTGTACAAGTATCTCTTTATAGTGGAATAGTGTACCACAACTCCAGTGTCTGCCAGATCTTTCTGGAGGGATCGTGCAGTCAAACGTGGGTTTTGAATTGTTTTTCTCACAATCCTTGCGAGCTGTTCTGTCTGATATTTTTTCTTGGTCTTCCAGATCTTGCTTTAACTTCCACTGTTCCTGATGATTGCCATTTCTTAATTACATTCCAAACAGAGGATATTGATATCTGAAAACGCTTTGCTATCTTCTTATAGCCTTCTCCAGCTTTGTGAGCGTCAACTATTTTCAGTTTCAGTTTTCTAGACAACTGCTTAGAAGAACCCATGGTGCTGATTGTTGGGGCAAGGTCAGATGAGCCTGGGCATTTAAAACCTTTGAGCTTGACATCACCTGGTCTTCCCAGATGATGATTGAGAACAATCCATGACACTGGCAGGTCTCAGCTTTGCAAAGGGGGCAGTGCATGCTATAAATTCTGAAGGGTGCCCAAACTTTTGCAGACGCCATTTTTTTGTTTTCTGTTATTTTGAAAGTGTAAATGATGGAAATAAAATCAAATTTTTGTTGACATATTATAAGAATGTCTAATCTGTAATTTGATGCCTTTTGGAGATTTTTCCATCTTTCCTTGGCTTCTTTATGCACATTAATACAAATTTTTAGCTGGGGTGCCCAAACTTTCGATCCCCACTGTACATGATGCTATATTTATAAATATGAGAATTGTGAATGTTGTGGGTTGGGGGTATGTTTTCAGAAACTAGCACGCAATGTGTTACACTGACATCCCCCATCCTCTGGAACTCCCTACCCCAATCCATCAGACTGTCACCTACCCTCCTCACCTTCAGGCGCACCCTGAAAACCCCCTCCTCTTCAGGGAAGCCTACCTCGCCCTCACCTAACACCCGACCTCACCTAACAACTAACCTCCTCCACTCCTCCCACCACTCCATCCCCCACAGCCATCTCCTCCTGTGCCACCTTCCCCTCCCTCCTAGATTGTAAGCTTGAAAAAGCAGGGCCCTCGAACCCCTCGTGTAGTGTATTGTTACTGTCTTCTCTCATGTTCTGTCCCCCTTGCTACTGTACAGGGCTGAGCATACCCTTTGGCGCTATATAAATACTGTATAATAATAATAATAATAATGTATTGTAGTATTGTGCCAATGAATGTCCTGTATACGTTTACATTTTTTTCATATACTATGTGTGACAGAAATAGGACATTCTACATGGGGTTCTTACCTTCATCCACAAGAGACTCCATAGATTCGTTGACCCTGCTGATTTTGTGCAAAGAGTCTGTTGACTGTGACAAAACTTTCCAGGTGCCCCAAATATTTTCATCACATCCAACCCTGAATAAAAAGATCCAGAACAAAAATTACTACATGGCTAATGAAACATTATACAAATTTCTTGATACTTAAATGCCATGTGCA